TATAAATAATGACCATGTCTAACTCCTACAGACTTTGATTTCAACATTTGTGAGTTTTTTATATTTTAAATGAATGCATATGTTTTTCTTTTTAAAAATTGCTTTTACAGTGAATGGTATTTACTGTAACATACATAAATAATGTATGTTATTTGTCTCTTTATTCGTCTCACAACTGATTTTCTAACTCAAAAAATATATAAGATTTTAATATATAAATAATTAACAATCTTGACTATTTTATGCAAGAACCTGCTAGACCTATATTGAAATTCACACACCAAATTATACCGCGATATATACCGTCTACCGTCTATGACCCAAATTATACCGCGATATGAATTTTAGGCCATATCGCCCACCCCTACGCCAGTGATATAAACCCATTCAACTCTCACACACGCCCCAGCTGCAGTTTGGAGTATTCTGGCGACATCTAGTGGATTAAAATTAAATTACATGAGTAATTCCGAGATAATTGGGTGTGATTAGGTTCAGGTGTGTAGCTTTACAATTATCTTAGGCCCCATCCTAATACTCGCACTTCCACCATCGCGCCCCTCATTTGCGCGTTCCCGATAAAGGGTGCGAGTGCGTAGGGTGTCCCAATTCTCCAGGGAGGTCTTTGGCCCCGCCCCCTTAGCGCCCCTGATCCACACTTCGCCGTAGCCTGCATCTATGCGCACTCTGGCGAAGGATATTGCCCATAATTCTTTGCGGTACACACCAAAACGTCGGGAAAATGCATTTAAATATAAACTTTGAAATATATATGCAGTATGTGTGTAAATAAGTTTTGCTATGTCACTTGGAAAGAAGCATAAACGCCTGATGAAGAATTACGGACATTGTGTTTTAACAATTTAATAACTTTTTAAAGCAAGCGTTCATATAACATTCAATTTAAACTTTACACTTAGTACAATAATCTTAGAATGTATAAAAACTGACCAGATAGTTACCCACATTTAACTTAAAATTATACAGCTATCTCTCTAATTAAAAACAACTAATATACATGTATTTTAACGTGTGTGAAGCAATTCATTTTGTTTCCCAAAGGGTCAGACAAAGTTACCTTTAATGTTTATAAAGTTTAGGTCTGAAAATGACCATCTCTTGACGAGTCGATGACGTAACCTGCACTCAGTGTGCACTGTCCCAATTTCGCCTTTTTTGCACACTTGTAACCTGCGCACTCCAACCCTGGTGTGCACTTCGAACAAATGCACACTTCGTAGAAGTGTGTAGGGTGGTTGGGCCTTAGTGTGTAAACAATGGTGGAATGAGACTTTCTGGTGTGTAAACTATTGCTTTAAGCAGTAATGACAAATGTCTGTTTTTTTTTGTGCGACAAGTGAGCTGTCAATCAAAGCCCAGACCACGCCCAACTCTAAGCCACCCTTCTTGTCCCTTGGTCCTCCAGGCAACGTCCTTTTTAGAGAAAATTGTCAAATCTTCATGTGGGCAGAGTAGGGCTGGGCACAGGTGTTTAGTCGCTCTGCAATAAGCTCCTCCCTTCTGTGGCCAGAGGTAAGAAACCTTCATCTTTGTGGAAGGTTTCTGAATATGTCTGGTCTGTGTATTATAGAAATTCCACCCAATTCATTCCGTTTACTTACCACTGACTTTGTTAAATAAGCCTAATAAGATTTGTGCAGCTTAAGTTTTACAATTACTTCAATATACCATTTGGAATAGTTATCAAAGGCCAAAAGCACCATGACAAGGGGTGCTCTTATTGAATAGTTGAGGCTGCGCTGCTGTGAAGGAATGCTGGGAAAGTCTGATAGGGCAGCAGGGGCAACAGGACAGGACTACATATGGTACGGCTTTCCTGGGTACACTTCACTTTAGCCAAACCCAAACATGAAACGCACACATCCGGCAGCTGCATGGCCCTTCCTCAATCCTTTAAACCCACCCAAGACCAGCTCCCATCTATTACAATAATTTGATATTAGCATTCATCAACATTGGTGTTTTTGTAGGTCAATATGGAAGCTTACACGCAGGAAGTGCCATATCTAATAATAGACCCTTTGTCGTTCAATGCCGCCAGCCTTGATCCTTATCGGGGATGTGCAAGGGAATTTATCACAAAGAGCAGCCTGAAAACACCAAATCCAAACCAGGTCTATAACTGGACTTGATATAGTACAAACTGGGTCTAAATAAGCACCAAACGAGAACAAAGATTACATCCATCAATGAAAACACCAAAACTAAACCATATTTTGAAGAAAACAAAACCCACAAGACAAAACACTGCTTCCTGTCAAACATGGCCAACCCTCTTCCTGTTTCAGACTTTTCTCAAGTGAAAGCTTTTTGGTTGAAACTCTGCCGATGGCTGCTACTGCCTTTGTTTAATTCTTGGGCTTTGTGATCCTGAACAATGTAAATATCATAAATAGCAGGCAGAGAGAAGGAGGAAACGGTAAATTATAAAACACAACAACCACTACATTGAGTTTATCGTTCAATAATTGAAAGCTGAAACCAGATTTCTCATGTGGGAAAGCATTGGTCTTTATTTGTTTGTGATAACAGTAATGGAAGTGAAGAGTCCAAAATAAGGAATAAAAAGTCAGGATTTTCTTTAAAAGTTTATTTGCGATTACAAAAAAAACAATTAGAAAAATCATTCTACATTATATTCATTACACAGTCCCTATAAAAGCAAAAGTCCTTATTAAACTGAACAAATGTTTGCCTTTTTAGATATTAGTTTTATGACATTCTTCACATTGTTTTAAATATTGCTTTTGGGTCTTAATGCATAAATGTAGGATCTTCATTCGGGCCATTCCTCGGGCCATAACCTCTGGGACAAATTGTGCCTCCACTTGTTTTAGCATTATTTACAACATTTGTCCCATTATAAACTATGATATGTTACTTCATTGATTATGCGACATTGCAACCATGTGTTTGTATTGTGCCATGGGTCATTACTGTGATTTGATCCGCAGGCCTCACGTTGAAAATCTCTAAATGATGGTTTATGGCGATATTGTCATTAACAATGGCTAAGCTATTCATTTTCGTCCTTGTAGAAATTTGCTCTGCTTTTCCACCATAATTCCAATGCCATTACTAGGGCAACCTGTCAGAGGCAGTGGTAGTCCAGCTCCCGGAACACATCTCTAGACATTGAACCTCAGCTTGGTTAGGACTCTCTCACACACACACACACCTTTTGTCTGGTGCGGAAACCGGAGTGCCCGAAACATGCAAACTCCACACAGAAAGGCCCGGACCAACGCGGGAATAGATTCTGCTACTTTATAGCTGAGAAGTACAAACTCGTGCTACCCACACCAATATACTGTATCACAAGTTATTTTAGGGCTATACATGACATCTATAAATGTCACTAACAAGAACAATTCAATGATAATACTAGATAACATTTGGGAAGAAATTGGAATTGAAAGAATCGATTGATATGAATAGGATAGTGACAGTTTTAGAGCAACCAATGGAACTTTTAATTGAAAAGAGCCAATACCATTCTGACTCGTGTGCGGGTGCTTTAAGATGTCAACAATGCATCAACTGGGCGTTTCCAGGTTGCTAACACCACACATAATACACTGACCATTACTGCACTGCTCCATTATTGTACATCCACACCGAGCCCAGAGCAGCAGATCACATCCGACTGATGCACATAGAAAGCTGAAATACGATTATACGCAAGAAGACGCCAATTATCAAACCACATGGGAATTTGTGCCAGTCTGGCTGAGGCAAACAGTTCAGCCAGAGCTATTACAGCCATCAACATTCATCATTGTAGCACCAACCATTAAGCCAGTACTTTTATCAGCCCCCATCCTTCGGACCACCCAGTATAAAAGACAGTCAGACCCACAGATCTTCAGACAACTTTCCCAAGAAATCAAAGCTGGGTTGCAAACATTTGGACCAACAAAAAATCCGGTTCCTGAGGAGAACAAAAGGCAGTCACGCGGATCAGAGTGACAGAAATCCAGTGTACTCTAACAAGATTACAGTGACGCAGATCTTGGTGCTAATTAATGCTGCCATGGCCAACCAATCCAAAGGAGTACAAAGGATTTCTATGTGCGTCCAGGCTTCACATGACTTACACGCAATAATGTCCGAGTATTGGTTTTACTTTCATGTTCTACACAATCAAAAGACACACATGTAGAAATAGGGCATCAGTCTGTAATATTCACACGTTAGGTTGGATAATGTAAAATGGTGGTGACACACATTACAGCTTAACAACAGCTCACACCTGTTGCCGCTGATGGCTCAGCAGTAGTGACTGAGGTGTTATTGCCAAGCTGCTACTTACCCCAAAACAATGGATTTCAATACAATTTTTGGATTTACGTTATGATACAATAATGTCAGGACTGGGAGAGATCTTGTGTGGGAAGCAGCATTTCAGACATGGGAATGGAAATAAGCAATTATGCACATTGTAACCCAATAACAACTGTCTGGACAATTTAGTAACGTTAATTTATCACAGCAAATGTTGAAAACCACATTGTGAAAGGCAAGACCAGGTGAGTTTTTTGTATAGTCCATAAACAAGGGGCAACTCAAAATTCTTCACAAAATAAGATTAAACAACAATAAACGAAGCAACAGCTAATGTATTGTGGTCATTTATGCTTTGTATGATTGCTGTTTTAGACTTATTGAGTAAAGATACAATACTTCGGTTGTATTCAGAGCTTGAGAGAACTGTCTTACATTTTCAGGCAGACTGTTCCAGATTTAAATGCATAAATCTGAAACAATTGCTTCCTCATGTTTTGTAAAATGAGAGACATGTCTGTTCAAATAAATGGACTACGTGACGACATTTTACGCACAGCTTCAAATTGTAGTAGATAAAAACACAAATATTGAGTTTGGAATGTGTATAATTTGAATCAAACCACGTATATGAAAACTTAAAGTGTCTCTTTCATAGCCAAATGAGGGATATTGCCTGAGGAGGTTTCACTCACCTATCCCGTCTTCCGACTTGAGCACCATGCTGCCTGCGTCGCTGATCGCCAAAGTTGGACAACTCTACAAAAGTCAAATCGCGGAAATCAATGGAACCAAAACAGACCACGGTTCTCAAACTTGTGAGTAACTTTGTCCTTATAAAGTTCAAAGTGTCTAGAAGAGAAACTCGGTAAACGAAGGGTGGCGATCCGTCGACAGCCCTTGGGAGTGGTTAGAAAGACTTTAGCAGCCAAGTCTCTGCCCCCACAACAGCCGCGCGAGTGCAACCATACAAGTCCGGAAGTGCTTTCAAAATAAAAGACACAATGTAGTCTCAAAGAATGGACAATAATTCTACTGGAAAACGCCATGACGCCTTATTTCTTCTAATTTTAAGAAAGCCGTGCGCACTGAAAGAGCACAAAAATGAAATTCAGGCCATACTTAAAAAATGACAATAATAAGATAACAATTAGAATAAAAGTAACATTTGTCATTAATCCTATGTATATAAAAAGTGGTATTTTAACGTTGAAACCAATCATCCGTTCATTTTAGGTCAACTGTCACTAAAGGTTTACTTTGAAGGGCAGTGCTAACTTCCTCGTATTCATCTGATTGACTAAAGGCGACAGACAGCGCAACAAATGGCTCAGTGACGCATTAGGTTTAACTAACTAGAGAAGAGGGGGCAGGGATACACACGAGTCAAAGTTTAGCTCCCGAAAATGCTGAGATTGCGCATTGTGGTCCCCTTATTATACAAAAGTTAACTCCCAGTCAGCGATATTATAAAGACCTTGTGGCTACAGGCCCATGTGGACATTAAAATGATAATAATGATGTTATCTTAAGTCTTTATAATGTACTGTGATTGTTACATTGTTTATTTAAATGCGTGATTGTCTCTATCTTGTTTTTTAAGCATTTTAAGTTGTCTCGTATATGAACTGTGCCATACAAATCCACTTGTGTTGCCTAATGATACATATTGCCACATGTTTTTTTTAATATACATAATGTGTCACTGTTGGCTTGTCTATTAGATTGAAATGAAAAAGGCAAATACAAATCAGCTGCGGTGCGGAAAAGGCTGAACCTGTCTCTACCTGCACTGAACACTCTGGGAATGTAGAATTCCACCGAACAGTCAAAATTATCATATCTCATGGAAATAGTCGAAAAGTTCTGACTGCTGGATCGCTATCAGCTTGAAGAGTGACTTGTGAAAGCATTGGTTTGTTGTGCTCACAGTGAGGTCTGTGTGATGCTCATTCACAAATGAAATGATTCAGAACATGTTTCTATAAAACCCTTGAGTCGCACTTAACAACATATTGTGGCTTTGTTTGTTGTTCCTCACGTCACTGGAGAACAACAATTTGTAGTCCACATTATTTGTAAAGGCTTAGTTTGTCAGATTACATCTTTAACATTTGATGCAAAAGTTTCTGTCAGATTGCTTTGTATTTACATGTTTTGTATCCCTAGCAACATGCTTCAGTAGAAAACCACAACAAACCAGGACACAGCTGTAAATGTGGGCCTACGCCAAACACATGCCTGTGATGCTGAACTCTGACAGAATAAAATACTGTGTTAGCCCTTCATACTGTATAACAGATGCTAAGACAACGAGCAACTTTCTGTGGTGTAATGACTGTAATGTAGCAACAGGCTGAGTGATTCACATCAAGTCGTCCTGACCAAGCCAAGCATCAACTAGAAATGGGTCCAACTGTAGGGACCACTGCCCCTGACAGAGGCCCTAGGGGCCAGGTCAAGTGCAGAGGACAATAAAGTATACATTACATTACCCACTACTTGACTTTCTAAAGTCCATCAGATGGGAGCTTCACTTGCTCCTGCATTTAAGGATATGAAGGAGGGAAACACAAAACACATAACATTAAGTTAAACTTTTAATCATTACAACTTAATTTATAATAAATCTGTGTTGAAATTGTCTGTATCAAATTCTATTCAGCGGGTATTTAGGGAAATGTATTTCCCACTCTCTTGTAAAAACTTTCCCTGCATGTCTCGACTTATGCATCCAATAAAGCAACACCCAGTTTGTTATCTGATTTTATACTTAATAAATCAGGTTAAACTTCATAATCCAGGTTTATTTGTGGTAAATAATTGATATTTATGACGATTTATGTATATCAGTCATCATAAGTAATGACTATAATAGAGAAATATGCTTTTCAGATTCAGATTCAGATTCATTTTATTAGCCATGTGCAGTATAAAAACTACATTGGAATACATTTGCAAAAAAAGGTACTCTGTGTGCACCGACAGAATAAAAAGCACGATACAATGTAATATAAAATACACATACACTGAATATAAAATAATTTAAAAAAACAGCTGACACTGTGGCACCGATCAACAAAACGATACAAGGGGTAAAAGCAGGAATTAAAGTGCTCTGTTTAGGCACCTAACAGCCTGTGGAAAGAAGCTGTTAGCATAGCGAGATGTCTTGCATCTCAGCGACCGATATCTTCTGCCAGAGGGAAGAAGCTGGAACATGGCTTTCCCAGGGTGGCCAGAAGAGTCATTGATGATTTTAAGAGCTTTGTTTAAAAGTCTGGATTTGTAAAGAACCTCCAGAACAGGAAGCTCACAGCCCACGGTCCTCTTTGCAGAGCGGAGCACCTTGTTTAAAGGGTTTTCTTTATCTGTGATGTTTCCAAACCACACAGACACAGAACCAACAAGTAAACTCTCAATGGTGCAGCGATAAAAGTTAAGCAGAGGATGAGTGGCTAATAATTTTTTTGTTTAAAAAAATACATATCAAGATTCCACATAATTGAATATTTTGCAGGTTTTCAGAGGGGAAAAAAATACAGCATTTAGGATATGTTGAAGATGATTATCGAGTTACATGGAGGAAACTATATAAATACTTTTTTCAGATCGAAAACACATTATTATATGATTATTATATGAGATTTGATTTTTGAACTTATATTTATGTTACAGGGCTCAGTAATCTCACCAGTCTCCAAATATGAGAATTTTCTGGAAACTATTTCAAGGTCCGGGCTTTATAGGATTAAGCAAAACAGACACTTTTATTGCATTCTTGTTATTTGTTCAGACTGGAGAAGCTTATTCTATGAGTAATGATTTGAAGAGCAGAGCATTTATGCGACAGGTGCCTGTAATGAACCCTTTAGGTGTTTCAGTGCCATCATTTTCAGAGCAAACACGATTACGAGCACACCTGAAATACTGAGCTGAGTCATGCTATGTATCATCACCGCCATGTGTCTAAATATTTCTAATCAAGAAACAAGAACATCGAATAAAAATAAGGTTTAATTGCCTTTTATCCATAAAGAAAGCCCATATATATAATGATTCCCAATTCAGATTCATTTATTTACCATTTGCAGCAAACACACATTGTTCCACATTGGAATACATAATTGGCACTGGAATGGAATGCTCTAACTCTTGCAAACATAACCACTGAGATGTATTTCTAAATCTACTTTTAATCTGAATCAAATAATCCCAGATAGTTCCAATGATCAAACATTCCATTTTATTGAGAAATTTCCAAAGGAGACCAGGAGCTCTCTCTTTCTTACAGAGTAACTGTCGCCCCCTGCTGCCGACTGTCAGTAGATGCTCTCTTGGGTTGATTTGGTACTATTTTAACTTTCCAATCCTGCAATAATAAAGAACGTAATTCTCGCTGGTTCCATTTTGTTAGAATATTACATTACAAAACAAAATGTCTTTGGTGTTCAGGGTAATGCCCCATTTGTGTGGAAACATGTGGATGAATTTGTGCTGCAGCAGGAGAAAGTTACTATGAATCTGCTGCTGATAAAGTGTGACTTGGTGAGCTCCTGTCACTGCAGGCACTTTGCTCATAACAACCTGCAGACTACAAGCTCCTGTCATTCTCGTCCTGGTCCACAGTAGCTCTATGGGTCATCATTTAAGTCACTCAATCAGAACAGAGAATAGTATAGGCGATAGTGGCTGTCAGCATTTATATTTTTGTTTTCCCCCGATGACTAGAAATCACCATATTGTGGTTTCAATGGTTACTGTGAATATGATATTTGGTATTTGAATGAAGAATAGATAAGAGAAAAAATCATGAATGACTAAATGACAAGTGAGGGTGCTCATGAACAGTAACGCTGAAAATGTAAGAGGATATTTATTTCCTGCTGTATCATCAAAGCCTCCTCATGGCTGATTATGACTGAAAAATCCTGTGTGGCTGACACAGCTGCGAGCTCCAATCCTCCTCATTTACATTCCCACACGGCTCAGTCTGAAGGCGCACTCTGGCAACAGCCTGGTTCAGCATCCAAATCATAAACACGGCACTATGAATCACACAACGCACTGTGGGCAGCTTCTCCAAATATCTGCCATATTGTCGTGAAGGCAAAGGTGGAAGAAACTACTGTGGAAAATCTATTCAATTTACATTTGTCGAAAAGATAATCTTTTTTTTTTTATAGTATAGTGTTGGAATAATTGTAAAATCATTATGTTTCATCATTGCTTTGTTTTTAACCATTTGTGTTTCACAGGGAAAACCTAAAGGTGCGAGTTATTTACATAAACCATGTTTATATTCTTACAGTCCTTGTTAGTAATATAGATGTGTACTGTTCTGGGAAGGTCACACTTTTCGAGAAGCAGGTTGCTACAAAGAAAAGTAACTTGTCCTGGGGAAGGTATAATAATAATAATTATAATATAGTATATGAATATACACACACACATATACATAGGTGTAGACTGACATGTGACGCTACTAAACTGTCCCAGTTATTAAACCCATTCAGGTCTCCCATCCAAGTACTAACCAGGCCTCTGCATGATTCTGGAAAGTTCACACTTGGTCTGATTCACTTTCACTGGACCAATCAGATTCACATGAGGCTTTTTTGTGGATGTAGTCACTCTAGTCAGTTCATCTTTTCAAAGAGATCTGTGACTGTGCCATTAGTTTCCCAGATCATCGGAGAGTGGGGTTTGGTGAGACCACTCTG